GAAAGGACAAAAAAACACATTTTCCCTTTTATAATATTTAATTAGTACATAGTCTGTAGGATTTTTCAGGAATCTATCTAAGGTCCCTTACTCGAGCAATTCAATTTTAATATATATACATAGAGATACATTTACAGAGAAACGATTAAGTTCTCACTTACGATATATCTACACAATGGTTGGTATCGCGTATTAGTTTATTAAATTATTTAAATTATATTCGATACCTACCTTTGAATTTCGATCACCACAGAGAGCTGTAACATCTTAAACTTGTAAACTCGATAAATTAATTGAATGATAGTACCCTTGGGAATAAGATACATGAAAACTACATTTTCATCATATTTCATCCTGTAAACTTCATTAGTTAGGACAATAACCTATTTACTCAGAAACAGCATAAAAATCAATGCCTTTTAAATTTAAGATGTTAAATCACTGACAGTATATCGTTTTTAAATAGCAAGTTATTATCATTATTAAGAGTATTTTTCAGGTTACATTAGTATATACTGTGTGTTTGTAAAATAGTTATAGGTTTTACTAGGTTATGCAGTAGTTTAACTAAAATATATCGCGGTTTAAACCGTTAAAGTGTTTTATTTAAATGCTACTCGCGTAAACTACAGACAATATTTAAAAAAATTGTGTATAAAAATCTAGCCTATAGGAAGTCTAACGATAGCATTCAGTAGATAGGGACGAGCTTATAAAACTTCCCCGCTAATATCACCCAGTAATATCTCAGGCTGTAAATAATGACTCGAGACGATTCCTTTAGCCATTTTCTTGCATAACACAGTACTATTGTAGTACTGTATGAGGAATTCAGCTGCATTCTGGGCACTTTGCCACATGTGAAGGCCTCAAGTACTCGAAATGTTCTTACATTTTCAACGTTTGTTTAATTTTTCTCTGTGAATTTGTTAATATTATAATTAGAGATTTAAATAATAAAACCCCTCTCTACGTTTTTCTTTGTTTCAGTTAGGCTTGTTGTTTCAGAAATAGTTTCCAACGAGTCGTATGTTTGTTTACACCGAGTTTAAATAAAACACTTTAACGATTTAAAACGCGATATATATTAGTTCGTCAAAGTAAAAATACTGCTACGCTATCGCCATTTTTCCATCGAAGTTGGTATTTGGCGAAACTTGGACAGTTTGACGTCAGAGACATACTACATCTTTAGTCTCTCCGTGACCACGGTTGCTGCAAAGCATTCGAAACGTCGGGTAATCTATATTTATACTAATATATAAAGCTGAAGAGTTTGTTTGTTTGAACGCGCTAATCTTAGGAACAACGAGTTCGAATTGAAAAAATATTTTTGTGAAATGTGAACAAAACGGGGGAAATTCATCATCTCTGTAGGTTTCAGATGCGTACGCTGCGAAAACGGTTCAAGATACCTAAAAATTAGGTATGAAAGAATGATTCACCTTTAAATGATCTAAAAAAAGTCCGCCACGCTATATGTCTATCTTTTAGAATTAACTTGCAAGAACGACCCGAACGACGGGACGCGTACGACGGGATACGAATATTGTGGGTAACAGCTATCTACACTAATATTATAAAAAGGAAAGATTTTTATTTTTGTATGTAACGGATAAAGTCATAAAGTACTGGACTGATTTTAATAATTTTTTAAAAATACAATTAAACAACAAAACAAATAAGTTTAACTAGTATATATCGCGTTTTAAACCGTTAAAGTGATTTAATTTAAATGTGTACTACTGGCGTAACTAGAGACGGTATTTACACCAAGTTTTTTTTATATAGTTATGTTAGTTAACGAACCCACTTCCGTAGATAGACGTGAAGTACAATGATAACATTTCGAAATTAACGTTTCTATATATTCGGAATTAACCTAAAATAGGTCTTCAGTGCAGCCTAATTGAACTAGAGGTATTTTTATCTTCTGTTCTTGTTTGTGCCATGTGTTCCGAGTTCTGTGTGTGTCCGAGTGTGTGTATGTAAGGCGAAAAGTATCAAAGCAGAGCGAATGATACTCGACTAAATTTGGTCATAAATTTATTAGCTATGCGGTATTCTCTATATATCCTAACATATTCTCTCTCTGCTCTATGAAATACTTGTTGTGTAACAAGAATAGGGGCGTTCTTTCCTTGTCAACTATGCAACAATATCAATAAAGGTATGCTTTTACTGCGTTCAGTTGTTTCATCTAAACTCTAGCCGAGAAATTCAATGGAATCTAGACCAACATAGCTTGCTTACATGTGTAGTAGAACAAAATATGAAATATCTGTACTCATATTCAATTTAAATATTTGGAGTGAAGTCGACCGACAAAAGGATTTGCATCTAACCAATTTATAGAATAATATTTTCAATCTCGCCTGTGGATATGCAACACTGCTCTATTAGAACTTTAAAATAGAAGCTCCAATTTTGGACGATAGGCTCGTATTACTATATATTTATAGTAAGCAGAGCGAAGCTGGTTACAATTTGAGTAACAATTAAAACAAGTTGCGTTTGAAAACTTTAATATTTTTCACATGATGCTACTATTTACATTAAAAATCGATTTGATTATAATTATAAAAAATACGACTCGAACAGGACTTGAACCAGCATCTGTAAAGGTTGAAATTACATTGCTCAAAAGGTGCATGTATCAATAGGTTGAAAATTTATACATGAGCGTTATTTTTACTTTTACTTAAAACGGTTTTGTAATTATATACAAGAAGGCGGATTTTTAAGAGTTTTTCTGAAATCGTTTGAAAAATTGTACAAATACACTTGTACTCTGAATTATACACATATGAATCCAAAATAAAATCTAAATATATTTTATCCAGCTGTCTAAACATAAACGCGACTTATTTTTACCAAAAACAAAACAAGTTCATTAAGCGTCGTAATTTAATCTACACCTATTCTTATTATTCGAAATTCGTTAACTAAATGTTAACATTTCTATATTGATACGCGAAGCCACTCGAAATAACAATGAAAACACAACTGTATGAGACACATTATCTTCCCTACCATATTGTTGAACTAAACGTTTGAAATTCTATTCCGTGAATTTTCTACGTGACTTATATCGAGCTACATTATATACAGCGTGTTCCAGAACTTTGTAAATATACATACTATACATATATCAGGAATATGGGTAAATAATACAGCATTTAGTTTTTGATCATAAAGAGTTCTAAGCATGACGTGTAATCAATATATTTTACTAGTTTAGGATATCGTTGTTTTTCGAGCTGTGCGGCCGATGTAACCGAGGAGAGGTTCTCGACGTCTAATAATAAGCTGAACGATGGCCATGAAAGCCTTCACAATTTATAGTTCTACTTGTTCATATTAGGTTTTTCTGATTAATAGTAGCTACAGTGATATTAAAATAGTTAAGTAATATGTTTTTAAATTATTTAGTGCCTTCATGTGCAATAACATGTGAAAACTATTAAAGTTTTCAAACTTACTCTAATTATTTATTTCGCAATGATTGATCGAAATATGTACGGGCATGTATAAAAGTGTTTAAATAAAAATCCAGATACTTTTGCAAACTCTTTATTCGACTTAGCCGCGATGGTCCGCATATTCAATTGACAATTCCTATAAAATACTAAATATAATATAGTTTTGAAACAGAAATACACTCTACTAATAAAAATACCAAATGATATGGAAACTCAGTTACTGATTTTATAGTAAAATGTTCTCTTTCAATATACGTATTGAACGATTACAAATGCCAGGAATAACGTGACAAAATAATAGAATTGAAATGGAACGAAAATAGTCCGGACTATGAAGTTATTTTGGGAGTTAAATTAAAGCGGAAAAGCTTTGCGTGCTGCCTAATTATTATGTACATCCCTTAAAATAGCCCGCTGTTCCTTGCACTAACTTACTACTGCCACTCACTTAGCTCTTTCGACTAAAAGACAAATGAGGGAAACATTATACCCATGTAACCCCAAGTGAAATTGAAAAGTTCCTCGAAGTCGTCGAGCGAAGTGGAAGAAGGCTTTACTACGAAAACTCTTTTGCAATAACTCTATATTTCTCTTAATATTCAGTCTATTATAATACTTTTTATCTCGTTATATCTATATTCAGTTAATAAATAGTTCTATTAAATAAGATATGTTATCGGCACATATTAATTACTATACGTGATTTACAAAATATCACTACTAATAATCGTATGTACAAATTTATTTTGGTTATTAAACATTATGAACGCAACATTTACAAAAACTGTAATCATTCAGTTCAACAACAAAAATCTTAACAGCTAACATAAAACGTTATTTAACGCAAGAATAATTATTTTCACTGAATGATTGTTTATTTTTCTAACATCAAAGAGCATAGCTTTATAGAGATGTTTGGGGTCACAAAGGTAACCGCCGGATCTAAGACATCGTATCTATGATGAGTAGCAAGATCAAAAAGGCCGGGCAAAACTGATCCCTCGAGACGGCTCCATTGTAATCTTGTAATCTGAAATCTGAACATTTTCTAATTAGCGATCCATATTTTTACGGCAAGCTTATACATTTTGTTATAATTTTTAATTGTCTTGTCCATATTGTTTGGAAAATCTCTAATCATTTTTTCCATTCTGTAAACCCAGATTCAGACTAATTAAGCGTAATGTTATATTTTAACAAAAAGGATGTTCCGATGAAATTCTATTGTCTTATTCATTCTGTCGGTTTATTTAACAATCTTTTCCCATTGTCTATTAAAATTCATAGAAGAGAAGTTTTAAACATATGCCCGACTGTGTCAAAAGACCTATTTGTAAAAAAAGAAGGACACAAGTAAGAATTCAGAAAGGCTTCTATAAAAAGATACAGTATTAAGCAGGAACTCTTACTAAATAGCTACATGTATTGACACTTTATTCATTAAAATAGGATAAATGGGACATCCAAGAATATACTGCCACAATGTACTTTCAGGTATGAAGTTGGGGTAAGTATTATCTATGACGTACCTTGGGTTCCAAACGGAGTGCTCTCAGATGCCTTATCAATCATAATGTTTAGCCTTTGTATAACTGTAGATAGAAAAACGTTGATTTATACTCTTGTATCAACTAAAATCAACGTGAAATATTGAAGAATCGCAAAAGACTCACCATTTTTATTATTTTCCAATGCTGGGGGTGGCATAGCTGTGAAATGGAGTAAGTGATTAAAAACACCCATTAAAATATTGGATTCATATATTTCGGATGAGATTTTTTAATAAATTCACATACGATACAATTTGATAGTGCCCTCGGTGTCGCCCAATGAGTTTTTTGAGACGCATTTGTAAGCGCCATAGTCGGTATTCTTGATTCTTCTAAGCGGAAGCCTTAATATAGAGCGGTAAGTACCCGCTATCCGCTGTGGCTCCAAGCTACCGCCTTTAACGAGAAAATTTTGTCTCAATAAAATATAATTTAATTATAAATATTTATACCAGGAATGCTTCTTTATTTTCTATATTTTTAAAGCTAATTCGTCGAATAGATTTAGAATTAAACAAAGGCAATAGGAAATAAAAACGCACAGGTATTTTCGGCATATTGTATTTATGAAACATGTAAGATCCTGGGTTTAAATCCCGGGAAATATTCTAGTTGAACATCAGCTATTTCATTGAATTATTATTTGTATTAGATTTCATAATGTTTCTTGTTATTTTAAAAAATATGGAACAGTTACAAATCATACAATCTAATTTAAATGTTTAGACCTATAATCATTATAATTTTTGGCATGTTTATTGATACGTTCTTGATATATTTTTTTTTTGGGTTTTTATGACCTGGAATGTACAACCTTTAGGTCAACTCTTATTTTCAATAGCACATTCATAGACGTAATATTACGCCTATGAGCACAATTCATTAAATTGTTTTAATTGTAGTCTTTATGTATTTGTAGATGTGCTTGTAAGTAAGTGCGTCTTGCAACAGTTGGGCGCGGGCGGGCTAATCACACTTTTTTCCATATAAACTCACTGACCAACACTAGTAGTAGAAAATTTTGACAATCAAAGATAATATGCTCCACAGATCATCATTCGCTGTTGATATTATATCATAGCATAGATTAAGGACCCTTAAAAATTCAGCAATCTAAGGATAAAAAATAGTAATATCTGTATAACCTCCTTAGGTTTCGACGTCTTCCGCCATCTTAAACCAAAGAAGCTTTACAAAATGGCCGCGAAAGTATTAAACATTTTATAGTGAACTCGAATCAATATTTATATACTAAAGGAACATTACCAATAGGAACTATTTCTCCATCTTCACGACTCCAGTAGCTAACAGGCTTGGGATAAGCTTCCGTTTCGCATTCTAGCACCAGATCAGTGCCAAGTGCCGCTCCGACCAGTTGGTTTCTTATTGTTATCACCGGTGGAACTAGGATAAATATTATACCTCAGAATCCAAAAATATTGCACATTTCGACTATAAATAATAAAACAATCGACGGGATAGTTCGGGTCTAATGGTAGCAATTTATAGTAGTAGTTTAAGTAGTAATGTATGGCTAATAATAATTGGGTCGTGGGTTCGATCTCCAGCGGGAGAAACGTGATCCTAAACAATTCATAATTTGGATCTCTGGGTATGGTTCGGTCCCCGGACGGAAAATGATATTCCTACAGAACATCGGTGTCCGTCCGGGTAACGTATCACATCTAAACTAAATGCGATGTCAACCTATTTAGGCTTTGGAATCGGAAATCCACAGACTGAAAAGCGATGAAACTTCACGGCTTTTCCATCTTTGGGCGGTGTTCCTGAACTCGGGCGGAATTTCGATATTCTTAGCACCTATTTATTATCTAGATTTTTTTACGAAAAGTGTCTAAAAAATAAGTAAAAACATGTTGGCACTGGTGGGGATCGACCCACATGACATACATTGCTACCATTTCACCAACGAGCTCGTCAGAAATTCAAAATGTGTCTTTTGGTATACAAATATCGTTTTTAAGGACGTGTATACATACATTCAACGGTGAGCATTATTCGTTTGCTCACAGTAGGCGGCACTCCATTCGAGGCGATGCATAAATATGGCCCCGCGTGCTGCTTGCTCACTCTGCTAATATTTAATACGGGCCCCTCAAGTGACGTCACTGCAATGACGTGGATTTTAAATTATAATAAAAAATTCGTAACAGCGACGCGGTCTCGTACATTTTCATAAGAGTTTTATTAATATGTCTATTTCTTATTTAGTAAAAATGTTAAATATAATAATCTATTAACGGTTTAAAACCGGCAATATATCACTCAACATATTTTTATTTACATAACAACGTTTTGAATGCTTTTAGAATCCGTGGCGGCAGGCTTTATCCTTAGTTTTAAATAGATGACGTAATCGTTGAAGGTGCTCTTCCGTTCAAAGTATTTTATTAGATATCACTCGCTCAATCGATAGACTACATTTTTTGTTTATTAATCATGTGAACTGTTTTTTTAGTTTGAAAACTTTGAGAAACCTCTACTCAAATCGCTCACATCGGCCAAACAGCCCGAAAGACAATAATATATGCTGAACGATGGCCGTGAAAAGTCTTACACAATTTATTAACTTTATTATTTTTCAAATGATGGAACTAATGAGATTAAAAAACTTTTTTTTTTTATAATGACATTGCGCGGGAGAATTTCGATGGACAATTCGACGCAGACGTGTACGGCAGGTAGTTCATTTGGTTAGAGCAACAGCACGGAACGCTGTGGATGCCAGTTCAAGTCCTGCCCCGAGTGTAAAAAAGATTTTTTTTTTCAATGTAAATCGATTATTCATTTGTTTTCTTAATTTAGTAACTATACTCGATATTGTTATGATAGGTAAGTATTAACAGTAATTGATCTAATGTACGAGATAGTTTGATTATCATGTTAAGTAACTTATTAAAAATGTCGTTTGGCTTAAATTACCTTGTGAACCATTTGCTAAGGGGATCATTTTGGAATGTTCTCTTCGCCAGTTTATCATCGGCTGGGGTGAGCCTGTGGCCGCACACGTCAGGCTTATCGATGCACCCTCTCGAACCGTTTGGTCGGTACTTGTTCCACGGTCCAAAATATCCGGAGGTACTGAGAGATATCGAACATTCTTATAGCAAGAAAAGTATTAAATTTTAATATATGACATATGAATTTCCTAATTTCACACTTATGAGATAAGCGATCTCTTCCAGACAACCCGAGTAGAATTATAATACTTAAGTGCGAAATTTACTAACTACTTAATTAACAGACTTTACAAAATAATATTAATAACCCATCAAATGCAAATTTGAGAAATAAAAATAGTTCAACTTAAGAAGGATGACTTGATAAGAACAGAAAAGGCTTTTAAAGGAAGTCAAGAAAAGTGACTTAGTAGATGTACTTATATTATCGGCGGTAGTTCACCTTATAACCGCATAAGAAAAATCAACCACGTTAAACATCGTCTCTGGGTTCGGATCCCGGAAAAAAAATTGTATCAGTCGAAAAGGTTACAGGGAACTTCTCGTAAATAGAAATAGTTAAACGATAAAACCGATGGTCCGTTTCTGTGGTCACGTGATTGTCTTATTTTTTATCAATGAATAAAAATAATTGTTATAAAAGCTGCCGTTTAACTTCAAAAACTTAATTAACCTTGTATGATTAAATACGTAAGCAGACCTAAGAAAGAAACTAGATAAAACAAATAATAAAAATTATGAATACTACTTAATAAAACAATATACTCCATTGTTGTAATTAATGTACCTTATATAATAAACTAAAAGTCATATATTTTGTACTTTAACCCACGCTGTATTACTAAACGCCTACAGTCATTAGCGGCCTTTACACATAAAAATAAACTTGACTCACTAAGTCAAAATCGATTCAATCTAATCAATTATTTCTTATTTTTAATTCGTCGCTTAGTCGTGAAACATTCAACATCACCCGATGATGTCCTCAATCATGACGATCGAAAACGTGAAACGATCACACAATTTATGCTGATTTGCATATAATTGAATTAAACGAATTTGGGTGCTAAATCAATTTGAAATGTAGACTGTAGACTGGCGATGTATATACGTATTAAAATTATGTTGATCTAAGTAGAATTTTATATGTGATATCCCGTATCCACTGGGGACGTGGGGCGGACACATATCTGTGTTCGTTTCACTGATCCATTTCATTTACAATAGCATGCTGACTCCAGACTCAACTCTGCCTGAAAGAAACAATTTCTATTTACCCCGGAATCCAAATCCAGGACATGTCGGTGCCAATGCCTGGAAACGCGTTTGAACATTGATCTATGAAGGCGGTTGAAATTTGCTCAGACACATAGGATTATCTATAGTACGTGCTTTATTATTAAAATCGCAAAACAAAGCGACCGCTTACCAACAATATCCAAGTAACCGAGCTGACTTTTCATCGGGTCAGTGTTTATTTGACACATATACCACCCCCTGTCTGTCTCCCTTAGCTCGCGGATGTGCAGGAACCAAGTCCTGTGGTCGCTATGTGTTACCCCCACTCGCCTGCTCCGGGAGATCACGTGGGTGTGAATTGTCAGAATCGTTTGTGTGTCAACGCGCAACCACGCCACCTGTAGGAAATACGCCATTAACTTGGCGGCTCTGAACAGAGGTTAGACTAACTTTGGCGCATGTACACTCGTAAAGAAATCTAATACTACCATTTATTCTCGTTAGTGGAAGTAAATGAAAGATTTTACATATAGTACTCAAAAGTAAAATACCACTAATTGATTCAAACCAAATAGAGATGTCCATACGCGATCCTTGTGAGTGTCGTTTAATATTCCTATTGAAATAGACAAAATTGGATCGTAGAGATATAATTTTATAAAAAGCCCTAAAGAAGGTATAAATAGTTATTATATAAATAATTACTCATATTTAACTAAATCAGGTAGTTCAATAATGAAAAAAGTTTTTAATGATTTTATTTTCCTTTAAAGGTAATCATGGTATTGTTTATTAACAACACCATTCACTGTGTTCATCAATCCATTTAATACAATATCTCATATGATTTAAAATCCCACAATCTTCCATCCAAAATCACAATTTTTAAAAATTTGATAGAATCGGTCGATTGGTGTTGACACTGAGTCAATCACTAGCCTAGATCTTCGTCCCGTCCCCCGCGCCCTCGCTCTTACCACCGTTAACATCCTAAAGAACGTTTCTGCGCAGCGTCTCGCGGCTTAGATCAGGCCTGCCCAAGTTACAACGGCCGTACAGTAATTATCTCGATTAAAAACCTTTTTCACAATTCAGTTACCGATTTTAAATTTACAATGACAGTAATTAAGTAAGCGTAGAACATAGTGTGATTTTAAGTTTTGTTATATATATAACTTTTCTTATAGATATAACAAAATATATTATTTTTTTATATGAAACACACCCAAGCAACCGCGACGTCGTTAATTTATATTATTGTTATTGCTAATTTTCCCCCAACGGGCCTGGCCATCCCTACAACCCCCACGACCCCAACACGAAACAAATTATAATTTTTTCTGAAACATGTTGGATTTCGCTTGATGGGCGGAGGGAATATCGAATCTCAGTCTGTAGATTTCCGATTATCCAAAACAAAGGTAAACAGCGCATCTTGTTAAGATGTTATAATATGGGTTACTTATCATGACCTGTTTGCTAGTCTGGTCTCTCCTTCTATCATAAAAAAAATGCTCAACCTCAGCTTCTTAACATATTGTTAAAAAAATGTGGACTGACCATATTCAAAATTTTTTAAATTTATTTTTTTTCCCTTTAAACCACAATATCTATGTTACTATATATTATGTACTACAAAGTAAAAATAAACATGTACCTACCAAAACCAACTTTTGATTTCCAAAATATATAATGATAAGAAAGCTTTGCAATCTCGCGTAGCTTCAGCTTCTTCCGAAGTCAACAGTGCTCGAGTTTCAAGTAGTTTGTATGCACATAATCTGTATACTTTAGTGTTCAACACGTTGTTTAAAACCTCGTCGCGAGTGATTCCGGAGGGTGTAGTTTGAGTACTTTAACAATATGCAGAATCTTAAGTGCTTTTATTGGACAAAGCTGCAGCTTAAGACTGTTCCCTCCTGACGTTAGGCGGGATTTATTTTTATATTTAAAAGTATGGAGTTGTTGCTTATTTTTAATCGGCGGCATTGTAATTAACAGTATTAAAAACATGAAATAAATAAAGTCTATAGTTTACGCGAGTAGTATCTACACATTTAAATAAAACACTTTAACGGAGGGACCGTGTCATCCGAAATGTCAGTATTTAAAATAAAATAAAAAACATTTTTATTTTGCGTATGGAGGTTTGCAAATTCTATTACGAATGTGTGTCTGAAACCCGAAGAAACACAATAGTTTGTATCACAGGGCAGACAAGATCATTTAGCGTAATATTAAATTAAAACGTATAATTAATTTTATTTGTTCATTAACTTTTAAATTCTTTGTGACACTATTAAGGATGCATTTAAACTTTATTCTTTATTGTTATACCTTAGTTATTCTATTTATGTAATGTATCTGTTTGTTTTCTTTTTTGTAAAGAAATAAATTAAAACGTTTACAAAAGTGTATTGCCTTAACACGTGATATTAATTTAACCTCAATGCCTAAATCCAACGTATGTCTTTTCGTTTAAAGTAAGAACACAAAGCGATTACGACCATCGCATCTGAATTCAGAAGCTCGAGCGAGTACAAAGCGTAATTTGAGGAATACTCGTGCACCTTGTACGTGGAGAGGTTATGTACGGTGCACGCGAGAACCGCCTCGCGGCCCAACGGCGCCGTCACGTTCTCTATCGGTCCGCTGAAACCAGGCTCGTCTGCAACAAACATTTTAAAAATACATTTCAAGAAGTATGATATCAATATGTTTCTCGCATCCCCGTTTACTAGATCGGATGTGTCATAGTTTTATGATAAGACATTTGGACATTTGAAAAACTTAGAATTCTATCCTGTGTGTCGCTTACGCGAGAAGTACATATTTAAATAAAATACTTTAACGGTTTAAAACGCGATATATATGACTGGTTCCGGTTCTTAAATACTTACGTATAACTAAATTACGGGATAGACGGGATTTCACTTATTAGGCATTTATTTTCATACATTCTGTTTGAAAACTTAATTAATATTTTTTAGATAGAAAAAAATTTACAACAGAAACAGCAGAACGGAACGCTTCGGATGCCGGCTCAAGTCCCGTCCGTGCTATATTTTTTTTAGATCTCAAATCGGGTTTTAATTTCCTTCGTTATAGTTCTTAGTCCACACTGCACAAACGTAAAGTGTTTACTCCAAGACGCGCAAAAAAGATTGATCGCGGGGACGGTTTCAGAACGGTTCGGTGCTCAAACAGTATTGGTTACGAAGTTTGAGATAATAAACACAACAAAGCAAAAACAATAACAAAACTCCCTGATCCTAGGTAAACAAAGAATTATTGTTATTATTTAATATGAAAAGGGTATCAAAGCAAACTTTAAAATCACCCCAACAATACAATGTGTTAATTTTTGTTGTAATCTTCATAGCTTATAAAGCTGAAGTTTAGATTTTATTGCTCACATGATACAAAGCTTCTAGTTTTGTTAATTTAGGATTTTTAATAATTATTAATAAATTGTACCTCTCATGATCGTTAAGTAGTTGTTAAAAGCGTAAAAAAGTACATATATTTAAAAAAAACATGATATATGAAACGAGGTTCCACAGTGTCAAATTTCTGCATATGACTTCGCCATAAAGAGCGAAAAGTTATTATGAAACTTGGGGTAACATTTCTCTTTAACAGAGGAAGACGGACAAGAACCTTCACTCGCTGCAAGAGGAAATACCATCCAGATAACATTTAAAGAAGATGCACTGTCTATATATTTTGGCATTTGAAACTTAAGCATTTATTAACTTGTTTAGGTTATGTAACATATAATTAATAATAATATAAATAATACCGGTGATTCCCGGATCTCCGAGATTTATCGTTGATTTAAAAACCTTGACGTTAGCTGTTTTTTTTACTCTTTATAATCTTAGAGATGCGGTTGTCGATATGATTTTTTTTAAGACGTTCTTTGGTCAAACAGCACATTGTTTTGTATAAAATCTTATAATTATGTAATATATTTCTTGATTTTTCAATAACCGAATGCTCGAGTGGAAAATAATAGAGCGAGACGATAGCTTAATTTTCGCCTGTCAGAAGGTCACAGAGCAGATACAAAAGAAATATTCATCTTTTAGAGTCGGATATTTTATTCAACTGTAATTTAAGAGAATAAGTATTCATCTGCATCCACCACGGTCAAGACTTTTTGATCTATTCATATTTATTCATTGAGATAGCGGAAATTCACTTCAACTGTAAAATAATACAGGGTAATCCGCTATCCTGTTATACTGTATTATATTAAGAACAATCATATTTTTCGTCCTATTATTTTTATACTAATATTAAGCTTAAGGTTTGATTGAAGGCGCTCATCTCAGGAAGTACTGGTTTGAATTGAAAAAAATATTTTACGTTAGAACATTTATCGTAGAAGGCTTAAAACCTGCGTGGCGACCAAGAATACAAGAAACCGTGGTAAATGCGTAAAAAACAGGAAAAAATATTTATCTTTGTGGAATTCCGTTGCGTACACTGCGACGGTTCAAGAAACCAAAAAGGTACGAAAGAAAATCGTTATTAAATGATGTAAAAAACACGAAAGTATTGGCTATCTGGTTCCTCTAATAACAACGGGAGCGTAAGCGCTTGTGTCGGTAACAACTAGGTAGTAAAAAGCGTAAACCGACAAAAAATAACTGTGTATTTTAATGAAAGTGGACACATTATATTTTAAAAAAAAATGTTATTAATATTTTTTCTACTACGCGATGTAAAAAAATTAAGTAAAATCATATATTTACGGTTAAATAGTCCAAGATGTTATAGTTAAGAATGTACCGTAACAAAAATTGCTACAACGTTGAGACCTCTATTTATAGGTCATTCATTTTTGTTATTTTTTTAATCAGCCACTGATTAGAAGGGCAGTGCTATTTTAGCCAAACACTTTCTATTGCTTGATTAAATTAGCTGTACAGCACGCGATACCCAGCATAAACTAACCGGGTCAAAGTATTAAAGATAGGTATTGAGAACAATACAAAATTAATAGCGACTAAATAAAACACTTCTAACGGTTTAAAACGCGATATGTAGTTTAAAATCAACATGGAAACTCCGTGACCACGGGTGCAGCAAAACATCCGTAACGTCGGGCCGCTGTTAAAATAATGTCTAAATAAGTTAAACTAATACATATCGCTTTTTAAACCGTTACAAGTAAAAAGATATTTTAAATTAGTAAATTAAAAAATTTGTTATTGTTAAAATGTACAATTAATTAATATGTACTGTCTGTAGTTTACGCGAGTAGTACACATTTAAATAAAGCACTTCAATGGTTTAAAACGCGATATATATTCGTTATAATTATTTTTAACTACGGCCCGACGTTTGGGGTGGGGGATTAAACGGCGTAAAGTACTAGACAGTATTTAATACATCGAGTTTTGGACCAAAACGGCTTCTCGTTAACAACGCGAAGAACGAAATCATTTGGAAAAGACGGTATTTTAAATACACCAGAATACCGTTTAATCCGAGATTAACAATTACAGAAGGAAAAATAATCCACACGTTGACGGATTTAGACTGAAAATATACCGAGTTGGGAGGCTAAGCGGTAAACATTTATGTAGGCAATATTTACTCTGTCGGGAATCGGAATATTGAAATGCGGCTTAGTACTGAGCGATATAATCGAGCGTTAAATTTGTAAATTGCTGGATACTCTAAACGTGTATGCACATATTAATATTTACTCGTAGTTACGCTTAAGAGCTGTACACACTGATAACGAAGTATCTCTTCAAAAAAGCAAACGCCGTTTCTAACCGGTTAGACTCAATTATGTGTCTGTTATGGTAATTTTTGACAAGTATTTGACCAAATAGTACAAACAATAAAATTCAAGAAGTAATTAATACATTGAAATAAAACACATTTGACGGTTTAAAATGCGTATAAAAATATATTCCTTTTCTTATTTACAATTTATTTTAAATACGGGCCGATGATTCGGATGCTTTTGATTTTCGTGTTTTAAAACGTTAAACGTGTTTTATTTAAATTTGTACTACTTGCGTGAACTACAGACCGCGTTCAGAATACAACAGACTTAACAAAAAAATTAGAGTCTTATCAAAGTGGTTAGCTCTCGTTATGTATACAATATGAACATACAATATTTAATTTAATTTGAAGTAAAAATTATCATCATAAGTCTATATTTTTATATATAAAACTATTCAGTATACAATAGTTAGCTATTATCAACGATTTCCGTACTAGTTATATAATAAGACGACTAAAAAGTTGGTACCAATAAGAAAATCAAAATAACTTATTTGTTATATCAAGGTAGAAATCTCTTATTTAACTTATAACTACTCGAAAACACGACATTTTACTTATACAAATATTATATCCAATGTATAAGTAGCTAGTCCAATACACCGTATTGATTTATTCTTACACTGTATGTTAATGATGAAGCAAATTGTATAACCGTCGGTGTAATGGAGCGATGTATGGCTAATCAACGGGTCGTGAATTCGATCCCCACTGGATTCAACATTCTATTCAATTTCAAATTTAATAATTTTCTGAGACATATACTGTCTATAGTTTACGCGATTAGTACACATTTAAATAAAACACTTTAACGGTTTAAATGCGATATATTAGTTAAACTTATTTGAAAATTATTTTTAACTTCGGCCCGACCGTTCGGATTTTTGCCGCAGCCGTGGTCACGGGGAGACTTAAAATAATCAAATTTTCTGAGACATACTGTCGATAGTTTACGCGAGTAGTACACATTTAAATAAAACACTTTAACGGTTCAAAACGCGATATATTAGTTAAACTTATTTGAAAATTATTTTTAACTTCGGCCCGACGACGACAAAGCATCCGAAACGTCGGGCCGAAGTTAAAAATAATTTTCAAATAAGTTTAACTAATATGACGCGTTTTAAACCGTCAAAGTGTTTTATTTAAATTTCTGAGACATGTTAGGACTTCGTCTGGAAATCTGGTTATTGAATGGGTGGGTAGAAATATCGAAATTCCATCCGGGTCACGAACCACAGATGAAAAAGTCGTGAAGTTTTATCATGTTTCGGTTATAGTCTGTGGATTTTCGAATATCCAAAATAGGTCGACGACATAGGTTGTTCAAATGTTATATGGCTCTGGTATTTCACCTAACTTCAAGCGATCCCTATCATTAAAAAGTCAATATAATAAATACGTCCTAAAGTAATATTATGGTTCATAGCGTTAAAACGTTGCTTGTTAGTTCCGGTGTTGTCGCTGACAAATTGCAAGACCGCGGCTTCCGTGACACCACTAATTGACTACCTTATTTTCGAATATTATACAAATATGGGTGTGCGAATATTAGATATTAAACCAATCTATTTTAATTCAAACAGTTTTTACTTTGATTTAGATATATATGTATAACTGTGTCTTTAAACTATAATATTGATGTTACAATAAATACACATGTTGTATACAAATCGACTTATTTATTAAGTTTAAAATCTATTTAATTGGTTGTAGTTCAATTGGTTAGCAGCAGCACAGAACGTTGTGGATACTAGTTCAAGTCTCGCCCTTGTCGTAAAATTTTCGATCTAAATAGACTTTTGATTCATATAATGCTATCACGTGCGGTGCGATAACGTGTGAAAAATATCAACGTTTATTCTTAAGT